TCGTGTGCAGACTCTGCGAGGAGGTTTTGGGCACGCCGCTGTGCCACACGGTGTGCCCCCTCGAAACGCAACAGCAGACGTGTCCCTTTCCGGTCGCACTCGTGGCGGTGGTGGCATCCGCTGCCTCGCTGCGTGCTGCTGGCGTCGACTACGATGCTGCAGAGAGTGAGAGAGAGAGGGTGCCCGACAGGAGCGGTGCTGGGCTGGGTGGGCAATGCCCTCCGCGGCGAGACGCCCAGCGCGACTCCTGACCGCTGCGCTCACGCACTTCCCTCCACGCCTCTCCCTCCATCCGGCAATCGCACAGCCGCCGGCACATTGTCCCCGAAGCAACACACACGGGAAAGCGTCGTAGCATATCTCCCGAGACAACAGAGTGACAGCCACACGCTGCAGCCATCGTGCCGACAAGTCCGACGCGGCCGCGCCCACACCCACAGCAGCAGACACAAAAAGAGATCTGACACTCCGTGCCACGTCCTCGTGCGTGATGGTTCGGCGTTTAAAAGCAATACCGCTACACGCCGTGCAGCATTCCCACAGGGGATGAGAACCACGACGCACTCCCACTGTCTCTTCTTTCCTTCTCTTCATGTCCACGGAGTGATGAAGCAGCTGCCACACGCAGCTTCCACCACCGAGTGCAGGAGAAGCATACAACTGCACCGCAAAATGTACGCCGTGCGGTTGTGTGCCTGCAGACACGCAAAAAAAGAAAAAAGAAAAAAAGAGAGAGCCACGCAAGTGAAAGGGCAGAAAAACACGCGGTAGAGGCGCAGGACGGACAAAGAGGGAGGGAGAAGGCCAATAAGGCTCGAGATGGCACGGCAACCCACAATAATTTTCCTAAAATAAAAATAAGTTAGAAATTTTCTAAAACCCCTCTCGACAAATTTTCCCCACCCATTAAAACATAAAACAAAAAAAAATTCCCATCGTGACGCGTCAAAAAAAAACAAAAAAAAAAAGACTTGTATACTCTTCATGCAGAAGTGAAAATATATTTGCTTCGACCGTTCAGCCACCCCCCTGGTGTCCACACAACTCTTACTTTTCATTGGGACACTCAGTGCGTTTTTTTTACATCTAACCTCCCTTTTTCTCGTCGCACCATCGTCGTGGTGCTCAATGCCCACTGCACGTTTCATCGGCCAACGGAAACATTAAAGACATCCTGCCATTCCCAAAATATCCCACCATATAAAAAAGAAAAAACAAATATACAAAAAAAAAAAAACATATACCCCGCGGTGAATTCCCAGGAGGGAAAGTGTGACTTTACATAAAAACTTACGCGGGCAGAAAGGGGTAGTCAAATATATATATATATATATATAATAAACGGTGCGTCCACGCAAAAAGTCAATTACTTCGGAGGGTGCGTGGAAAGACGCATATTGTTCCCGCTGGAAGCAGGAAGTCCTCACTGCGATTTCTCAGTAAAGGGCCGCAATGCCCCACAGCCCCAGCAGAAGCAGCGGGAGCACCCGAGACACGCCCCCCCGCATGGAGCCGTCACCTTTACCTTTTTTATCGTCGCTTTTCCTGACCAGTTTTAGTTCACCGTCACTCAGTGGGCGGTTGTACAAAAAGACGTTCGTCACTGTCGCATTGCTGTCGCTGTCTCCCTCGCCTCCCCCAAAGTAGAAGTATAAGATTTCAGCCCCACGCGCCTCAGGTGTTGGTATCGTTTCCGGGCTCCCCACAAGCTCACCATTCACGTACACGGAGCCCCTGTTGCCGTTCTGCAGCATGAGCGCCACCTGGTATTCACTCCCCGGCTCCCACGTGGTGTCCTGTGCTTTTGTTGCCCCGTCAAACACTGTCTCCCACGTTTTATCCATGCTGTACGACAGCCCAATGAACTTCTTGCCGGCACCGTTCCCCAGACCCGCACCCAGCAGAGGAGTGCTCTCCTTCGGAACCTGGTGGACGATCACCGTCGCCACAATAGTGAAATCGTGGTTCACAAAGCCGTACTGATTATTATCCTCCCGGCTGTTCACGGGCCATGTTGCCATGGACCCAGGCCCCGTGAATTTGAACCCATTTTCAACCTTCGCTGCTTTCCTCACGGTTGCATTCACGCAAAGGTAATCGTCGATCCACGTGTCACCACTGGCTGCATTGGACAGGAATCCAACCAGACCAGCCGTGGGTGTGGACGACTTGGAAAAGGAGGCGTCCAGCTGTCCCCAAGTACTGAGGACGGACCTGATCGTATTCAGCTCCTCCGTCAGCCGAGCAAGTGAAATGGCCTCGTCTTTTTCATTGGCCCTCTCCTTTAAAAGGTGCAACGCACCATCTGAGTACAGCAGGGCGTTGGCAAGCGTCTCATTCACATTATCCTCCAAAAAAAGCGGTCCAACATAAAACGTACGGTTGTTGTCCGTAACCCAAATGTAGAGCGCATTGGCCTCTTTTTCCCCCGAGGTGTACCCTCTCTGAGTGTACAGCATGACCTTCCTTCCCTCAATGGTCGCGGTGATGAGGGCTCCCACACGAAAAATTTTGTATAGACGAGCTCCTGGTTGTGGCCTGATCCACACGCCTGAAAGTTTCCCGACGGCCTCCGTCCACGTTTTCCCCATGTCACGCGACTCGAACACACTCTGGTCATCCATACACTGAACGATCATGAGAATTTGTCCCGTCTCCCATTCGGTGATGCGGGGATCAACGCATCCTACAGGAGAAATGCTCTCTGGGAACACCCAGGTATTGCCGTTGTCCGTCGAGTAAGTGATCATGGAGAAAGGGTAATTTTCCCCATTCGCCACCAGGGGAAACACAAGCGTGTCATTCTGCATCACAATGCCTGAGCCACCAGCAGTCACAAAATCCCTCAGCTGATCTTGAGTGTGTTTGGGTATCTGTTTTAAAAGCGACTTGGGTTCAGCCCAGCTGATCATTGTACTCTGCGCGCCGTCCTTGGACTGCGTGGCCACACCCTCAACCAGTTGAATATCCCAGCCATCTTTCACCCACGCATTATCAACATTGTCATATCCTACAGTATCGCTTCCCACAAGTAGAAACACCTTACTGTCCCTTGCAACTGCTGTGGGCCCGTGCAAATAACACAAACGATCATCGCCATTCCTACTGCCAAGAACGGTGTGTGCCCTCCATGTACCAGCATTGACCTCAGCGACAATGGACGGCCACTTCTCCGCAGCCTTGATGTACCCGGCCACAATTTCGTAAGGCTTAATCCCAAACAAGTCATGTCCATGGACGATATAAACGAACAGGCCTTCAGCAAAGGCAGCCATTACTCCACCAGCACTGACGAGAGAAGGCGCAGCAAATGCTTCCTTCACACCAGTTTCAGACCCCTCTTTGGCCAGCACCTGCGTCTTATTCGGCACAAAAATATCGACCCATTGAGGCAGCGGCGCATCCCCGGACTTACCCTCCACAACGGCTGCAGCTCCACCAATGTTGCAGTAAATCCACATCACGACAAGGAGAAGCAGCACCGTGGAATTAAACACACGCCGTGACATGTTGGGCCTTTGCTGCTCACTTTCTCTTCCTTCCCTCCTTCCGCTGGATCCGGTCACGCGGCGACGGTTGTGTGTGCAGGGTGCCTTCATTGCAGCAACACGTGAGAGCATACTAATACGTGTGTGTGGGCAATGTGTGTGCTGTTGTTGGTCCTTTCAGTGCCTTCAAAATTCGCAGTGGCGAGTAGGGCTTGTTTTCTTCCTTTCTTAAAGTGTCTAAGAAGTTGGAAAGAACAAAACTCCTAGCATTGAACAAAAGGTCATGAAAGAAATTTACAAAACAATAAACGCCATCATCACTTACGGTGGGCCACAGGATCGTCAATGTAGTATTTCGTTTTGTTTTTTTTTCTGTTTGCGTATGTGTGTGTGTGAGTATGTGCGTGCCCTTACCGTTCAGGCACAGTGCGGCTGCGGAGTAGCTATGGGCTCTCAGAGAGCATGCCACTGGCTTCAAACTCACTCATAGCCTGCTTATTCATGCAAAATATCATTGTGTTTCCTCACTAATAAAAAAGTAACGTCCCCTCCTCGCAGTGCCCCATATGTTGCGCAACGGAGACGACATCAATCCGCCAATGAACGCCTTTCCCACTGACTGTGTGAACGGCGTGGGATCAAGCAAATTCAACCACCAAAAATGTCCTTACATATATATGCGTGGCCTTTAACTTGCATTTCAGACCTCTTTTTGCCTCTCCCGTTGTTTTTTAAAACCTTTCAAAACACAAATAATTCACGACGCCGTCCGCATATGCCACAATTTGCTTCGGGTTGCTGGGAGAAGAACGGATAAACATGCAAGAAAGATCGCAACCACTGCGACAGAAACTGTCGTGCCTGAAGAAGGAAAAGTTGTCAGGTCCAACAAAGCAACGAGCACCTACGGGTATGTGTGCGGCGTGGCGCTCGCCAGAGCTCAAACAGATGCAAGCACGCCGTATGCCCCCCGTGGTCTGCGCTGCCCCGTGGCGCTGGTAAATGTTGACATGCCCGCTCACTCGTGGTCTGTCGAAGCAAGCTGGCGCCAGTCCATGTTGCCCCACACCAATTCATACGAGTGGACCACGTTCGCGATGGTTCCACCAAAAGACCCAGTGGAGCCCTTTGATACGTTTGGTCACGCGGCAGCGCGGCTCGTACGTTACCGTGGCAGCCACAACCGGCAACAGCCCCACGGCAGCAAGCATTTCATAGGTAATTATAATTGCGCCCGAAGTGTATTTTCAGGTTGATGTCAATTGAGACTTTTCCTTTTATTCATTTTGTTTTTCTGCCCTTCTTGCTGATGTTGTTGTTTCCTTTTATTTTTATTTTTTTTTTTTGTTTACGTCCTTGTGTGTGTAATTCAATTTGCAGCAGAGCGTTACTAAAAGCCAATCAGGGGAAACAGAGAGAGAGCGGATAGAAGTTTAAGGAGACGGTGAAGCGACCGGAAAAAGTTGTGGCTGTGGCGGGTGCTCGTGTTGCCATTGTGTTGTTCTAGCTGGTTTAATGCGCTCTCCATATGTCGGATGCCTTAGTGCTGTTCGGTGGCAGGGAACGCTCCTCATAGAGCGATTTTTTCTGTGGACCGACGTGCATCGAGAGAATATTCTCGTGGGTTTCAATGACCTCCCCCTCCTTCTCGTCGCCCTCCCCTGACAATGCCAATTCGTCGCCCACCTCTAACGCTGTTCGCCGCACACGCCGAAACGTGAAGTTATGAACGAGCATGCGCACACTCGTGTGAACGACGTCGGGGCTGAGGGTGACGTATGAAGAAGCCAAAGAGTACCCCATGGCCTCCGTGTGTTCAATCACCTGTTGATTCACCGATGTTGTCAGAAGATCTGCCGTGCCGTTTGCCACCTTCGTCGTCACGAAAAAGACTGCGCGCTCGTTGGTCTGGCAGCACTGCCAGTAGGTGGAGGAGATTAGCCCCTCCAAGTCGCGGCGGATGCGCTGTGTAAGCCGCCGCAGGTGAAAGCCATCTGCACCAAATGTGATGGTGAGAGCGTGTCGTTTGACGCCCTGATCGTGTTGCATGTGGTCGCAAATCTGCACCACACATATGCCCGGAAGTTCGACAATGTCTGAGCCGGATGTATCGTCTGGGGCCGCAGGAAAGACGTGCTCAAGGAGTCCCCAAATGTTGAGGCAGTGAACAATCTCCGCCCGCAGCTGCTCGTTCTCCTTTGGAAGATGCAGTTGACTCGTTCTCAGGAAACTCAGCACACTCTCAAAGACCTCAGGGGTGACATCCACAAAATACTCGCACTTCTTACGCCCACCTGCTGGTAACGGAAACATCTTTGCAAATGGCGTGTTTGGGTAGCGCAGCAATGTGGAGAACTGCGTCTCGAACACTCGGCCCCCGGCATTGATGACGGCCCGCCTTCTCATGGTTGGCTTACGCACTCACATGGAAGAAACAAAAACAGAGGAAACCGCGATAAAGCAAAAAAAAAAAAAGGCGGCGGCCCAAAAAAATAAAAAAGAATATAAAACATGCACAAGGAAAGAGTCAGTGAGCAATGAGGCATAACACCCGCTGCGCAGCAGCGACACTGTATTGGGAGAACCATGCGTGCTCCAAGAGCGAGCGGGCAGTGGGCCGCCGAGCGGGGTCCCAGCAAAGCATGGCTGATAGAATGTCATGAAAGTCGCGGCTAAAACATGGTGGACACAAGGGTTGTTGCTGCGCTTGCATCGCCGCCTCCATCAGCGACAAAAATTCCCAAAAATTCTCGTCGGAGTTCCCACTGAATGGATGGCTGCCGCTTACACACTCATGCAGCGTCACACCCAATGCCCATACGTCGCTGCTTGGACTGGAAGCCCACTGCCGGTCCCTTAACACCTCAACGGCGGTATAAAGCACCGTGCCGCTAAAGCAGTCCACCGCCGCATTCACGGGCATCGCACTGGATAAATCACCAAGCTTCAGTTCTCCCGTAGCACGCAACAAAATGTTGGAGGGACTTAAGTCACCGTGCACCATGCCAATCCTGTCATGAAGGTCTACCAGGGCATGCAATGTAAGAAAAGCTACGGCCCTCGCTTGGCATTCCGTCAGATGACCGCGGCTGCAATGACGGTGCATCACGTCGCTGAGGGAATAGTCCATCAACTCTGTCAACACCAACAGCAGAGTATCGCGGTTGGCGTCGACGCAAATATCGTAATGGTGTAGAATAAACTTCGAATGCAGGCGCTGTATCGGTGAAACGTTGCGTACCGTGGCAAGAGGATCCACGCACTCCTCCTCCTTGAGCCCAAGCCAGAGGCCCCCTTTTGCCCAATGTACACGGTAGAAACGACTGTGTTTCCCACGGCGCACCAGCACACGCTCCTCCCAATTGTTATCGCACAGGGCACGCACCGTCGGCGCCTCGGTGCGCTCCGCTTCCTCTTCATCCATCACGTCCCCTCATAAACCTGGACGCGCACCCCGCCGCCGTCGCCAGAAAGCAGGAGGAAAACAGAAACAGAAAAAAAAAAACACGGGGATGGGCAGGTGCGTAATAACCGCACGCCCTCCGCAAAGACCCAGTGAATTCACAAAAAAAGAGGAAAAAACACGAAAAACAAGAGAAAGAAAAGATGGAAAAGAAACAACGACAAAATAATGCCACCACCACCGCCAGCATACATATCTATTATATATATGTTCACTGCGGTTGGGTTATTTTTCCCACCCACTCACCCACCCGCAGCCACGCTGAAAAAAAGAAAACTGACAGAAGAATTCAAGGAGGCAGATCTCACCCAGAAGTGCTCCGCACCGTCGTCCCATGTTCCTCTGATTTTTGCACAAATGCAGTGAGTGCCTTCTCTGCTTCCAGCGACAAACGCGCTGCACCACGGGGTCCAAGTATTGCCTCCAAATCCTCCTTCAACAACTCCTTCCTAGTGAAAAGTGCATCGGCCAGACGATGCAGCAACTCCTTGTGTTCCGCTATTAAGGTCTTTGTATACTGTTGGGCTGTCCCAACCAATCGCGCTGCCTCCTCTTCAGCAACGGCCTGGATCTTCTCCGAGTGTTTCTGGTAAATGCGTCCCTCATCTAACCGTTGTGGTTCAAATGCGAGAAAACCAACATGGTGCGACATGCCAAAGGCCAAAAATGCGTGTATCGCCGTCTTGGTGGCACGCTGGTAGTCGTCTTGTGCACCAGTCGTGAGCTCAGCGTGCCGCGTCGCTTCTGCAAGGCGACCCGCAAGCATAACACAAATGTCTGTGAAGAGTGACACATCGGTAGGCATATCAAAGGTCTCCTTGCCAACTTGCTGGGTAAAGCCTGCTGCTGGACCCCTTGGCGTAATTGACACCTTGATAACATCCGATTGTCTTGGCAGAAGCCAAGCAATCAGCGTGTGTCCACTCTCGTGAAGCGCCACACGACGGGCCGTCGCCTCCGACATTCGGCTGCGGTGTTTTTTGCCCACGAGAACATCGTCAATGGCTGGCAGAAGTGTCCGTTCGGTAACCTTATCGTCCCCCTGCACCGCGGCCGCAAGAGCCGCCTCATTCACGATGGTTGCTATCGTGGCCGGCGACACGCCAGGTGTGAGACGGGCGAGTCTCTGGGCGTTGGTGGCCGCATCGGAGACAACAATGCGGTTGAGGTAATGTGCGAAGAGCTCCTCCCTCGCCCGCTGATCCGGCATAGGAATCTCCACTTTGCGGTCAAAACGGCCTTCACGCAGAAGAGCCTTGTCGAGATTATCCGGAAAATTCGTGGCGGCAAACACGACGACTGCCTCGTTTGCTTGAAGACCGTCAAGTTCGGCGAGCAGCTGGTTCACTGTGCGATTCTCTTCGGAACTCAACCCCAACGCCCCTTGGCCGTTGCTGCGTGAACCCACGGCGTCAATCTCGTCCACAAATATCACAGAAGGAGCCTCACGTTTTGCAGCCGCAAACAATTCCCGCACCCGCTTCGGCCCCGATCCGGCGTACACTTCAATAAAGTCCGCCCCACTACAAGTGAAGAAAGGCACACTCGCCTCCCCTGCCACAGCCTTCGCCAGTAACGTCTTACCCGTCCCTGGTTCTCCAGTGAGGATGCAGCCCTTTGGCAGTCTGCCGCCCAGCCGTGTGAAGCGTTCCGGCGTTTTGAGAAAGTTCACGTACTGTTGTACCTCCTCCAGCGCCTCAGGCACTCCAACCACGTCCCTAAACTTCGTGTCTCTAACCTCCACCCGAAAGTTTTTGTCTCCCAAAGG